AAAAAAATATTGTCTCGTGCTACTTTCAACTGCCAACTGCTATCCTACCCAGAGTGATGCTGGATCCAGAAAACGCCATACTTGCAAATTAAAGAGAGAGTGTAAACCTTATTAGGGATAAAAATAGAATTAAGTTCTGGGCTATAAAACTCCTCACAACCTCTGTAGCCTGTGGCAGACAATTTCATTCAACAATCTCAAAGTGGCTGACTTTGAGTTTTCCGATGCAAAAGGAAATTACAACAACAGACTAACTTCATGGGCGGGAAGACTGCATAAATTAATTTTAATTTAAAACTGGGAATTCTTTCTTGTACACGGAAATATTTGTCAAACTCTGTACCAAATTGCAAATAACCATGTAACTTAAGCCATTAGGAAGACTCTGGACTCTTCCAGCCTCCAGGTTGGCACCTACTATCCAAGTTACATCACTGTTGAGGTATGTTTAGCATTTAGTCATCCTATAATACAAGAAATCTTATAAGAAAAAAACCCACCCTGCTTCAAGGCAATTTTCCATCTGAAGATTTTTAACTAATTTGATACTACAAGTAGAAATCATCCAAAAGTGATGTCATGGAAAACAGCTTCCTTGGTCTTTAGAGATTGGATCCAGGGAGAGTTCTAGGAAAAGTCTCTACTGGGGAATCAAACGCCAAATCCTGTATATCACATCGTAACATGAAATCGCAAATATACACTGTAATGTCAGCAATGTAGTACCGTAAGAACATCTAGAGCTAAACTCAATCTCTTAAGACGGTCTTGATGTTTTAGGATAGAGATTTCCTGGGGGGAGAGAGGCTCTCAATAAAATCCCCGGTGCCAAATCATAAAGTTCCTGGATCCTATCAAGAGATATAGGATAAAAAAATTTTATCGGTTATTTGTCTCACTGATTTCAGCTGGATGAGCTTTAAAATCGATTTTAAAAAGCCAACAACAACAAAAACTGCGGCAATCGCTTGCTTTTTCTCTAAGTTGTCTTTATCCCCATCTTTCTCATTATCAAATTCTGGAAATGTCTTCCACTTGTGGACCAACAGCAATACTGTACAGCAGCAAGCATGGCGGTGATGAACTAAAAAACACCTCTATCGTGATTCCGACAAAGGCAGTAACAATCATTCCTATTACCCTTCCCCAGATTTACCCTCCTACTCCAAGTACATGG